AATTTCTAGCCTCTCCCTGTATTCCTTACTCGTTTCTCCCTCGGCTGCCATTTATTTAACTTTATAGTGACATTTTCTAACTCCATAAAGCCTTCTGAGGTAACAATTTTTATGAAACACACATGATTCTATTGTATTTTTTTTTCCAAAAGAGAACATAGCCAGAAAAGAACAATGGAGGATTGTTTTCTTCCAAATAGGACAAATTAAATAACAGAATCAGAGAAAACTTAGAGTGAGAAGGAATTTTAAAAAATCATCTTGTCAAAGCCCCTCATTTTATAATGAGGAGACTAAGTTCCAGTAAGGTGGAGTCATTTTCCCGAAGTGACATGGCTCATGCAGCCAAGGATGGAGTTGGGTTCTCTTCTCTCCTGTTCCAGTTTTCTTTCCATTCCACCATATTGCCCTTCTTAGATGTTTGCTTTAAGCCAGAAGAGATGCAATCGTTAACAGTTCACTTAGAGGGTTGATTTCCAGAGTGGTGTCATCCATTCAATAAATATTACTGAGGACCCACTGTGAGCAATACTTAGGCATCAGGAATACACAATGAATAGTTTCAAGTCCCTCCCCCATGGAGTTTACATTTAAGTAAAGGAAATCGGTGATAAATAAACCAAGACTATGTAATGGCAGGTAGCGATATGAGCTGTGAAGAGAAGTAAGGCAATATAAGAGAATAGAAAGTGAACAAAGGAATGTGCGTAGGTTTGATGCAGACTGGCCAGGGGGACTTCTCTGAAGTGACATGTACGCAGAAGTCTGAATGAAGTAAAGACAGGATTCATGAGATCATAGAGGAAAGAACTTTCTAGGAAAAGTGAAGACAAGTGCCAAGGCTCTGGAGTCCAAAAAGCTAGTGAGACCTTTATTACATATACAAAATGAGTTTCCTTTTGAGGATACGGGCAGAGCTTTCAGATGAAGTTGTGGGGCTTTTAGTATGGATCAACTGACTAAAATGAAGAACACTGGAACTCTAACAGAGAGCATTTTTTAGGACTGAATTGTACCAGATGCACCAGTTGTCCATCTCACTTGTTCTTTAACACTCTTTAATGGTAGGAAATTAGAAAACGGGGCATATCTTCCCTGCTACAAAGACACATAACTAAACAGAACCGTCCTCATTTGTAGGTTTAGCTTTTAGTTAAGTGGCTCCGTCGAAGAGACAGATTATATAACTGGCAGAAGCAACAGCTTCTTTGGCTTTGAGTACTGGCTTTCCACGTTGCACCCCAAAGGGAAAGCCAGAGGAGACTCAGGAGGCCAGCAAACTGTCTGAGAGAGAGAGAATCAGCACAGGGGCAGTGAGAGGAGCTTTGGGTATGAGCGGCTCCTGTTTTTGTAAACCCGGGCCCTGGGATCCCCGATCTCCTAATAAGGAAAAGGCTCGCCCATTTTGACCTTTATGGCCTGTTGCAAAGTCATTGCTGAGCTATTATTTGAGTAGCTTGAGGTAGAATAATGTTCAACTCAGCTTCCTGGAGCTGCATTTGAAATGCAATTAATTGACTGCTGTTAGTTGTCAATTAACATTTATTATCAATTAGTTCATCAAATTGATTAGTTGGCAGGACCTTAAAGTCTAAATGCACTCCTTTCCATTATAAATATGTCTATAAGAGTAAAAGCTACTCACTAATTGATGTCAAACTGAAATTGCTTATGTCGGACTTGACTCTTGTCCATATTGCATTTTAAAATCTATATCAAGTGAACTTGGATAATACATGTAAGGTTCATACTTTCAAAATGTGCATGCTGTAGTTGTTTTTTGGGGGCAATCAGTAAATATGCCAGGTGGACGCTTTATACCCATGTCAAAAGTAAGATTTAATAGGACCTGTTATTTCATATTCACATTTCTAGAATGATCTTACTTTGGAAAAAGGCATTGTGTTTCTCAGTGTTGCTGAGATTTTTGTACACATTTTGTGAGTCAACTAATAGGATGTGAGTTTTCAATAACTGTCTAGAGGTAAAATACAAGTATGTATAATTTGCAACTTCTATTTGAAAGACAAGCATATATATATTCTTTTTATCACCCCTCTCTCAAAAAGAGTTTTCTAGAATGTACCAGCATTCTAGAATATTCTGCATTCTATCCATTATCTAAATACTAATTAATAGATTTTGAATTCCCCCTTCCATCCCTTCCCTTAGCAAAACAAACCAAACCAAACCAAACAAAGAAACAAAAAAACCCCAGATATGCCACCACTTACAAAGGCCCATTTTTAAATTTTTTTGTGTGAGAAAAGAAAACATACAGACAAACGTTTAGTCTTTAGCATATGATATTCTGTCTTATCTTTTGCACACCTTGGGATGAAGCATGGAACCAAACTGTAACTCTCTCCCTCTTTAACAAAAAACACAAGATACCTACAAGGGAGTATTCATTTTTATTGCCTTTGTGCAAAAAGATAATTCCTGCCTCCTCCCATCCCAAATTGTGACCTAAATATGGCTGAAAGACACAACATGTGACCTGCTTAGTGCTGCCTGCCATGGCCTCGAGCCACAGCAGGAACTCTATTAGAGGGAACGGCACAGATGCTACCAGATGGCCAACATATTGTCCAGAGATGACCCATGTATAATTGCAGAAAGTTCAATACATTCAGGTTTTTGAATTTAATTGCATTGACCACCTTACCTACTGCTGCTACAGCTTTAATTTAAGGTGGAAACATCGTTTAAGTGAGAGGGAGGCAACTCCTTACCGTGTTGTCTTTCTGCCTTTTGCCAAGCGCCAAATTGCCTAAAGATGCAATTCCAGGTGTTCCCCGCTACCTGAACTATGAGCAATTGACAACATATTTGCTTGGCCTCTGTTATGTGGATGGAGAGCTTTCCTTTTCAACCAACTTAGCAACAGATAACATTGCCCAAATGTACGTGTGTATTTTCACATATTTTCAAGATTGTTTTTGATGGGAGGAGATGATGATGGGGTGAGATTGGGCACGCATTGCTGCTTTAGCCTTCTCTGCGTTCCTTATGCAAAAAGTTGGTTCAATTTCAGTTACTTTGCCACCCGCCCCCTCCCCGCACCTCGCTTCAGCTCTGACAATGTGAGCTACCAGTGGGTGATCTGGTCCCCATGAATTTCTATTTCTAGTAATATAATATTTTTTGGGGGGGTGGATATTAAATTTATTTTGATGTATACACAAGTATATAGCCACTTAAAAATAAAAACCTAGACTCTAGTTCCTATGGACTTGGAACCTTTTCTCTCTGAAGAAAAATGGCAATTATATGTTACATAAAGATAGAGAACTATTGTTTCAGTTTCCTCTTGCAGGCTGTTATTTCTTAAAATGTATCTGCTAAGCAAATGTAATCACGATGGCATGCGTTATTAATTCAAAATAGCTTCTCAAATGGCTCAAGCTCTGGGATGGCAGCATGTCTGTTGCGATGTCATTTGTCATAATTCTTTGCTCTTATATAGTGCCTTTTCTCCAAGCCACTCACATACTACATTTGCTTTGTGTCTATATTCAAGACAAAAGATAAATCCTTATTTTGTTAGAACTTTCCAACCTACTGCATCTTTTCAATTTTACACTGTAGACCATCTACTGATAGATCTGATTGGTTTCCCTGATATGTCCTGGAAAGAGAATTCATGAAACAGTCAAGGAAAATTATGTTCCTTTGCCATAATCTGATTTGAGAATGAATTTTATGGTGGAAGCCATTTTATAATACATTTGATGATGTTTTTCTGACACTTGTCATCATTAATTATGCTTTACAAAGCCCAATTTCTTGTTTAAAATCTGAATCCAAATCATTTGTACCAAAAGAAGTACATTTGAATTGCTTCAAATAACCTTTAATTTTTATAAGAATATATATTCTCATGAAAACAGTTAAATGTAGAATGTTGTGTTACACACAAAACAATAATTATAGAATTAAAAGGATTTCCCAAGGTATTGTTTTATGATTTGGACTTGCTGATAAGCCTTTCAGGATGTCACAAACCTGACTGGGCAGTGTCCCTTTAAAAGCAGAATGGCAGGTGCTGTCAAAATGGAATGCACCCCCAAAACTTGCTGTTTATTCATATCCCAGTTAAAGCTGAAACAAACAACTGAAACTAATCACGCTTGAAGTTGGGTATCGCCTTTGTGAGCTTTATGAGCCTATTTTTCTGAAATTAGAAATTGCCTGAGTGAAATGTTTCTAGCTAAACTGCTTTCTACTGAAGTCATGATTTTTACAGTCAGATAAATGCCCCTTAAGCTCCATTTATGTAAGCGTCAGTGACATCCAGTGGCTAATAGGCTGATCACAAGTGCGTCTCTCCACAGTTTGAGGGGCCCATGGTAGGAAGATGGCATTGGAATCACGCTGCATTTTGATAGTGCTGTTTCTACTATCAAGAAAGTTGGTTTTATCAAATGTGGTCCTCTGATTAGGATGACTAAATATTCCACTGAACTTTGAAATAGCAATGATAGAAATGAGACTTGGAAATTGGAAATCAAAATGCACATAGGGGCTACATAGGAGAATACCATTGCTTGGAAAACATAATTAGCATCCACACTAAATCCGAAGCTTGAAACCCTGCAGGTGTTATTTAAGAATGGTTATTGGGGAGCTTATGTAACTTTCAGTTCTACAAAGGGGACTCGTAAATTATGGGGAGGCTGGTTCATTATGCAGAGTTGGATGATGTTACCATTAATATTTCAAACACATATGCTTCACAAAGTGGTCCACCTTAATTTGAAAAAAGGTATTACTTGCAATAATGTCAGCTACATAAATTTATTTGCAGACAGTCAATTCATATTGATCATAACTCGACCTTACGATGACCTTGAAGAAAGGTAGTCTGTGATGGGTATGGATATTGGGATCAATACCAAAGTGCAATCGACTACACCTAGTTACTGATAAATGAAGTAAAAAGGTACACTATTGTCAGAAACAAAGATAATAACAGCTCATTTAGTCAACTACTTGTAAAGGTTTAATATTGATACACGTAGTTTTAATGACATCCTCGGGCATTCTCAAATGGCAGAAAACAATCGGGTGCAGAGTCGCTGAGCACATTAAGCAGAAAGAATCATTATTTTCCAACTCCAAATAATAAATTCCATGATATTTATGTCAACATCGCCGAGAACTTGGGCACTCTCTAAGCCTCACGGAGATAGCTCATGATTCCAACGGCACAGGGCTGTTTTGCTTCAGTTTTCTTCTCAACGTGCCAGGTCTCGTGAAACGAAGCACCCTATTACGTGGGAACAAAGCCTCCAGGACCACACATTGTACGTTAGTACTACCCTCTCTTGCACATTTGCGGCGGAATTAGCTCGCCTATCCACAGGTATAACCAACCGTAATCATGAGGAAGAGAGCATTTGGTCTCAGCACATCTGCTCCACGTTGATGCATTCCCCTCTGCTAGGGAAAGTTAAAAGAAAGGATGTTAACAAAAATTTCCCCCAATTGTTCCTTTCTCTTTGCTGGGAATTCCACAGAGTGAGCACTTGGCAAGTTATGCAGAACCTAAGTAAATAGAGTCCATTGGCAAAATGGTAACAGGTTGTGCAGCTTAATTGGAGGAGAGAAGTTCAGGAGCCAGCCCGGTGTCTGTTGCACCCAGTTGGTAAATTGTGCCTGTGGTGAGAACAGAGTGATTTTGCAGTAAGCTCATTTTGGGTAACTAGTCAGCCTGCTACCGTGAGCCAAGAAATATGAGGATTTGGTTTCAGTGTGGTTTTTTTCTTTCTTTTTCCTTTTTTTTTTTTTTTTAGTGTAAAATGTATTTCTTTATCTTGAGCTTTGTTTATCTTTTTGCCAGTATAATTTTAAGAAATCAATGCCAGCCGTCTGATATTGTCTTCCTAAGGGAGGGAAATGCTAAGAGACGTTTGTGGCTATTGAAACCTGCAAACAGAAGGAAAAGGCTCTGTTAGCATAGAGTCCACTTGAATGTTTTCCCTGAATGCTTAAGCTTCTAAGTTGATCCCGGCAGTTAATCTCCTGGTCACATTTCTCAAGCCACACGCTTTTTCACACGGTCTTCCTATTTTTCGTGCCATCGTATCATTTGCTATCTCCTTTTGCCTCTCAGACTCTCATGAAGCTCTTTATTAATAAACCTGTGTTTTCAATACGGCGCTACATCAATAAACCTCCGACTGGTTCTGTTAGTCAGCATTCTGGGAAATCCTATGCTATATTGAAGAAGTGCAAATCTCCATTATTGCTTCCCATAGCACAAATAAAGAATACCCTCTTACCTCAGTGAGATCCTCTGCTAAGTTTTAAGGGCGAATGCATATGCTCACATAATCACTTTGAGGTGCTGAACTTGGTGTTTATCAGGAAGGGGGGCATCTTTGCCACTGAAGACACCCTGAAACACCTCTAATCAAATGACATGCTTATTTAAGGTGTTAAGAACCAAATTACTTCAGTTCTCTTTAGTCTTCCCTTTTCCTGAAACCTTTAACTAATCTGGTGGGACAGGTGAATTCTGGACTTCAGAATCTTCTGTTCAGCAGCTGTGTTATGTGATTTGCAGTGTGTTATTAACTGACACGAAGAAAATATCAGTAATTAGAAAGATAAGAATAGACTTGTATATACCTTTTTGGTATCAGACAGGAGTAGGACAATCTTTGTTTATGCCAACTAAAAAACTTCTGGTATTTACTACCTAAGACAAGGGTGATAATTACATTTCTGTACAACTGTAAGAGAGAGTTTGGCTAGTGAAAGGTGTGGCTTCTTTTCATTTTTATGGTTTCCCCGAGAGAAAGCACAGTGGAAGTTAGAAGAAGGGAGAGCTTATACTGCGAGGGATGGCAGCTTGGAAGAACTTCCTGAAACTGGCTTTGCCAATGAGGCTGAATTTCCTCTAAGGGTCCCTTTGAAAGTTACAAGTGCTATGTATTGGAAAAGAGGAAACCAATTTTTAGTATCGCTGAAGACGCTTTCAGTAAAACAGATTCAGGAATCCTAAGAAACATTTCAGAGTGATACCCCAGAAATCCCTGATAGCTCCGGGACTCGTCTCTTTATAGTTGGCATTTTTAGCTTACTCCGTAACAGGTTCTTTCCTATTGGGGATTCCACAAGCACTTCTGCTATGAGTTTTGGGTTGTCCTGCCTTGCCCATATCTACTGCTCTGGCTCTGGGCTCTGACAATGGGCTAAGTCACTGGGGCACAGGCCTATATCCCCCTCCAAATCAATTTTGCTGCTGACTACCTACTTTGTATTCTAATGTCATTTTCCATTAGCATATCCCCTGACAGCAGGGAGCCCTTAGTGCTTGCCAGGGCTCTGTGAGTTTCCTGGCACCCAGCTGCTCTCTGCTGACTCCACCTGGGCTAAGCCACCCCTAGTTCTTCTCTGGCCTGCTAACTGGCTGATCTTGCACTTTCCTTGACCAAAATTTTGTCTTCAAGATTCCGTTTCGGTTCTGTGTGCTCCTTTACCTCTTCTCAGGATCTCTGCTGGTCCCTGGGATTCTAGGGCCTACTATAGAGACATTCCACAAGGGCTGCCTTTTGGGCAGTCTCCCATCCTCCATATTGTTTCTCAGTTCCCACCTCTTCATTAAAATTTCAATATTTTATTCAGTCAGAGTGATTGCATATGTTGGATTGCTTACTGATAAATTCCTGGTGGGTAAATGGATTATTCTACTGGATCTAAGTGACATTTACATTTTCAATAGGGATGATGAGAAGCCTCAGAGACTTTCCGAACACTGAGAGGGTGGAGGGAAGAGATTATTTTAAGACATTGGTGGCTTTTAGTAGCAGTCCTTGAATGACACCCTAGTCCAGATCTGTGTAAGGCCGGCCATCTGTAGCATGATGTCCCAATAGATCTACACATGCCCCCATTCCGGACAGTAGCAGCAACAGAAAACAGTGGAGTGGATTGTCACTGAAGGCCATAGACAGGCATTCCAGACACGTGCCATTTGATTTAGACCCAACCTCACCAGATTCCCACTAATACCTACATTCAACAATCTCAACTAGCTAGAAGTATGCCCGGAATTGTACCTTCTGGTAATTCAATATCATTATAAGTAAATGGAGTTCCTTTGCTGGGGGCCCTTCACTCTGACAGGGACAAATCATCTTAGGTGAGAGACAGAAGATACTGAGGAGAGATAAACCCTCAATTATGTTGCTCATCCTAGCCATGCCACGGAAGTGGGAACACCCAGAAGACATGATCATTTTTCTAGGACTCAAGGCTTCAGTCTTTTGGTAACCCCGAATTCTGGAGCTGGGATCACAAATATTTTAAGACATGAAGAATTTTTTTTAAGGTAGATTTTCCATTTATCATTAAATGAAGTTGTCTTCCAGAGAAAAATGCCTTAGGTAGATTTTCTGCTAGGTACTACCTGCTGAAAAAAAATACCTTAGATGCATTTAAAAAGATTGCAAAATTGCAAAGGCAATAAAATTTTACCATATTAATTAATTTTGAATTACAGCTAAACTCTTATATAAGTGTGTATGATATTCATGGTAAGGCCAAATTAATTCTTTATGATCAGTGCTATTGCAATCAATACTAAATGAATTCATAATGATAAGATACTTAAAATAAAGAGTTACCACAAAAACAATAAAAAGACCATCATCATCCAAGCTATAGCACACTAATAAAGTATTAGCTCAATAAGCTGGTGCTATCCATGACAATCAATGGCAGATACTTAATTTATTTCTGCTTGCCCCTGTTTTGCTTTTCCTGTAAGGGCTGTGTAAAAGCGTGGTCCTTTGATTCTACTGTAAATTGTACAGCACAGAAGAAATCCAGTATTCTTTTTATTAAATAATTTTGCCGTAGCATTTCCTTTACATGTCACCTTTCTGGAAAAGAACTCAAGGCATATTATATACCAATATACATTCCAAATGAATTCCTTTTGCCTCTGTTTCCTCCCCATAAGAGATACCTAGTCTTTTTTTCTTAATCTTTTCTTCCTTTCCTTAATCTTCTTTCTCTCCCCGTCTCTCTTCCTCCATTGATGGAGATATTTGCAGGGTGTATGGGGCAGAAACTTGAAGGTGGCCATACCGGTCTCTACATTTTTACTTCTTCACTTCAGCGCTGTGAAAAGACATTGTAAGGCTGGGAAGTAGTGGCTATATCATATCTGTCCTTTACCATACTTCAAAGAATCAATCAATCATGAAATTAAGAAACAATAAAGATCTTCTGTATTTTCTCCCTTCCTCTCTCCATCCTTTTCTCTTTCCCTCCATCTCTGCTTTCCCTCCTTCTACTATAGGAACTATTTTGAGTATCTTCCATATGTCAGGTATATGCTGGGTCCTGGAAATGGAAGCAGAACAAAACAAAACAAAACAAACCATAATCTTTATTTTCCAGGTTAGAGTCATGGAAAGAGTACTGGGTTGCTGTCAGATTAGGGCCAAGTCTTAGCTCTTTCACTTTATTTGCTGTTTGATCTTAGACACTGCGAGAGAGACAGATTCCATATCAAATTCCCCTTTCTTGGGAACATGGAAAGCTATAGTTCCCAACAACCTTGCTTTTAAATAGGATTGTGTGACTGGTTCTGGCCAATGAAATATAGAGAGAGATTATGTGTATCACTCCTGTGTTAAGTCCAAGAAACACTCCTATGTAACTCTTCACTTCCTTCTTTCCCAACTTACAGGGTAGCCACATGTTGAGGTGACAGAACTACAAAATGAAAACAATTCATATTGCTGAGCCTGCTGTAAAGAGGAAGCTGCCATGAAGAGGTAGCCAGCCTGTGTGACTTTGTATGTGCATAGCTTGTTTCTTTTGGAATTGCTTGTTACTGTCGCATAAGCTTGACCTATTCTAACTAAAACAGGAATCTAATTTCTCTGAGCATCTGTTTCTTTACCACAAAACAAGGACAATATATTTTTTACCTACATATAAAGTTACTGAGGAAATGAAATAAGACAGCCAACATACAACACACAAACTATTTAAATCAGAATTATGCAATGGTTGACTTAGTCTACTCTGGATCCCAGAACTAAAATTCTAACAATTTCATAAGATTCATTTGGTCCTGGCATCTGTCTATCAAAATATCAGGAGGTGTTGTTTAACAAAAGATTTTTCTTAAAAACAAAGTGCTTTGTGGAAGGTAATTCAAATACAGTCTCTGTAAAGGGAGTTGTATGTAAATCACCACTCCATCGGCTCTGATACCTGCTTGCCATTACTCTTTCTGAAGGCTGAATGATAACGTTACATACTTTTCTGGTCTGGGGCTTCATGAGTGAGTGCTACATTCTCTGTCCCATAGTTTGCACCAAGATATCTGATTTATACCTAAAAGTATTTTGTTGCTAAGCTTGGATTTTGTTGGTGCACTTATGAAACTACAGACTTTACATCCCAATGTTTTATATATCGATTTTAATGGGAAGATTTGCTCTCTTTCAATCGTCTCTATAAATTTGGGTTCTGGTTATGTTTTCTGCCCACCTACTCTGAGAGCTGGGTCATGTTATCTCTGTTGGCTTTCTCTTCTCTATGAGAACCAAAATTTCAACCAGATACAAAATTAGATTTTAAAGTTTCTCTGTTAGAAGTATGTATGTATGCATTTATTTATTTTATATTTAAAACTTAAAACTGAGCCACTGACCAGCCTCCTACCCTACAATACCAGATACCTTTGAAATGGCATCTTGAATTGTTACTGTTGAAACTACTACAGTTTAGTTATGAGTCCTATACAAATGCAAATTTAAATCAGTATTATTATATTAAATCAGTATTATTGTGGAATTAACCTAGGATGTGTGAAATCATTCAGTCATATAGTGACTATAAAAAGTACAGTAAATGGTAGAAAGTCACTGAATGTGAAATGGGTGGATATTTTGGAAGGGATAGTTAGAAAACACCTCTTCTGAGTATGTGATGCTATTTGTCCTAAACTCAAATGGTAAGAACAGAAATATTTCATCTATTAGTTAATGTTGGCTAGGAGTTTTTTAAGGGCTTACAAAAGTATTTCAAACCTGGAAAAAATGTTATTGCCAATAATTTATGAAAAAAATACTGCAGAGGGGCACCTGACTGGTTCAGTCAGTAGAGCATGTGACTCTTGATCTCGGGGTCATGAGTTTGAGCCCCATGTTGGAGTCGAGTTTACTTAAAGGAAAAAAAAAGAAAAGAATACTGCAGAATTTAAATCAACAATGTTCATTTGAATGCACACAAAATGTCTATTGTTGCTAATCAACTGAAACTCAACTGTTCTTATTTTATGTACATTTTATTTAATATGAGTGTTTTTAAATATATTTGATCTGATGTACTTAGAACCCGCAAAAGTCTACTTGGATGAGAAAGAGCTAGCTGGGGGCTCCTGGGTGGCTCAGTCGGTTAAGCAGCTGCCTTCAGCTCAGGTCATGATCTCAGGGTCCTGGGATCAAACCCCGCATCAGGCTCCTTGCTCAGTGGGGGTCTGCTTCTCCCTCTCCCTCTGCTGTTTCCCCCACTTGTCTCTCTGGCTTTCTCTCTCTCTCTGTCAAATAAATAAATAAAATATTAAAAAAAAAAAAAGAAAGAGCTGGCTGTATGAGGATCCTAGGACAGAATATTACAGGCAGAATGTCTTGAAACGGAAATGCATTTGATGTGATTGAGGAAGATAAAGAAGGATGTAGTTAGAGTATAGGGAGTGGAAGAGAGTGGTAGGAAATGAGGTTGGAATCAGACAGTGTCTAGATTTTGAAACATTTTATGGAAGGTGAGGAAAATGGAGAATGATACTTCTTAACACACCTCTTTTTCCTGATTCAGGTGTGTATGTGTGAACACGTGTGTATGAGCCCTTCTTTTCATCACATGCATTTGCCTATGAGAAGTTGGTTAAGCCAGGGATAAGGTGTGTTAGCTGTTTTCCTGTATACTCTGGCCATTCCTTTGCACACATTATTGCCCTGATGCTTCCACTGATATTCTTAAATCCACATACTCTACAGTATTTCCATGTATTTGCCATTCATGGGCCAAATGAAAGCATTCTATGGACTAACTAGCTTCATGACGGTAGGTTCTTGACTTTCAGACTGACACTCAATTATATGTGGGTTGTTTTGTTTCATCTCACCTCAACATGGCTGGTTCCCCGACGTAAGGGGGATTTTCAGTCTTGGGGAGCTCAGAAGAAGTTGGACAGCCATTGAATGCTAGAGCCAGCCACCTCTTCTTGCCTTGTTATGGGACCAATGTTTTGTTCCAGAGCTTCGGCTCCGTGCGGCTCCTCCAAATGCTGTATTAGTCACACTTGTTTTATGATACCGTCCAGCTACCACTGAATGAGAAAAATATCTTAAAATAATTGCTTTATCAGGTATGTCTCAAAACTTTCTTTGCTGCCGTTTGGGGAAGGAGGCGGGGCAGTTTAGTGCTTTGCCTGCCAAGCCACAGAACATCTTTGCTGCTTTCTTTTTCCCTTCAATTGTCATTGAAAATAACTAGTCATAATGCCTTTGTAAGCCCCGCCTGGCCTCAGCTATGCGTAAATCATGCTCCCAGACAGGGCCCCTTGGTTTAGAGGTCCCATTGTGGGAGTGATTTAGGTAGAGGCGGGATCATGAATAAAGAACACTCACCCTCTTCTTCAGAGGCAGGGGCGAGAGAGCCCGCGAGAGCCCTTCCCAAACATCTCTTTTCAGCACCAGTATTTGGCTAAGAGCTTTAATTTCATTAGACAAATGGGGGCTGGGTTTTTCCATGCATCTCAGCCTCCTTTTAATGTGTAAATTACATAGGATTTGCCACTCATTACAATGGTGATATGATTATTGGCCTCAAACAGACCACACTGCCCAGGCCCCCAGTGATAGGCCAGCTAAGAAGTGGCATGTGTGGGAAAAATTGGATAGCACATGTTTTCTGATCGCAAGCCCTCAAAAGAATTGAATTCAAACCAATGAGGCTCCCACTTGGTTTACTCAGAGTGTTTCATGCAAAATTGATTTCTGGGTGGATGTGACATCATGGTAGATAATGATGTAGTTGTGGGGTGAGAGCTGCCCAGGGGCCAGAAGCAGTGGCCCAGGAGAAAGCTTTTTGGATGTGGAGGCAGAAGCCCTAGTTTGGCTCTTTGACTAAAGACAAGTCGCTCAACTCCTGTGAACCTCAGTTTCCTCATTCACAAAATGAGGATAATTATGTTTGCCTAATACCTGCAGGTTATTAGGAACATTATTTTCTGAAGCTCCGCTGTGTGTGACTATGCTAGGAAATATTGCTCACATTGTCTCATTCATTCTTTAAAATAACCCTTCAAGATAGTTCTAGCTAAGCACAATAAGGAAAGTTAAAGAAGCCAGCACAGCATCTCCCCCCAAATGCTCCATGGACATAAAGTTTTGTGGAAAAATTTACAGCTTAGAAAATGCTTTATAGTGTGTCCACTCCTTCTCAACCTGTTTTTAGGAAACCACAATGTCCATTAGCATACTAAAGGCTCCGAGAAACTTCTTATTAAAACACTTTTTTTTTGTTTTGTTTTTTTAACTGTAATTTCCTATGAGACCATCTTTTTTTCCTCTCCCACCTCAACAAATATATACATCCAATGGCTCAGGACCTAAGTCTTCCATAGAAGCAATGGCACAAGGCTGGCTATTGATTTGGGAATACAGATGTGGTAGAAAATCCACAAGTCCCTGCAAGGAGATAGTTTTTGCTGGGAAGGGGCCAGTAGGAAAAAGACACTTTTCTGGAGCAAATACCCTGTGAGTTTATAATTATGATGGTTGGCTCATCCTGGGAGAACTATGCCACCATTTGGGCACAGTGTGAAAGAAATTTATTGTCTCCCTCAAAGGAAAATGTATTCTCCAGGGATGGAATATATGATATTATTTGTACTTTCTCTCATTTACGCATTCTTTCATTCATTCATTCATTCATTCATTCACTCTGTATGTTTTTTTAAACCCAAATATATGCCTCATCTGTGGTGTATGTTGTGCCGGAAAATTCAGACCTTTAGCCACCTTTTGTTGTCTTGGTAGATCTATAGTGATCCAAGCATAAGCACCACTACTCCATTAATGGCTTCCAACACCACCATTTTACTCATTTTACCAGCACAATTTGCCACAATAACACTATTTTACATTTGTTTAATTTTTTGTGTTACAAAGCACATGTATTTCTCGGGAATTTTCAGAGTCCATTCCTTAGAACACTGGGTAAGAAAGAAGATTGTAAATGTTTCTGAAAGTACAAGTATGTAAGTATATTTGTTAGGGTGCTGGGAAAGTGGTTTCATTGGACATTCTGGGTTAATAAGCAATTGGAAACGGTCTCTTTCATACAGGACATCTCAGAGCTTTGGATGTGCACTGTGATTCTCTAAGAGTATGATAAAGGCAGGGTAGCAGTGATAACATGCAACATCTTCCGGGCTATATATTTAGCCAGAGAGCTCTTTGTTCATGAGCGTTTTTTGACTACCTCTGAGGGCTCTTATAAGAAACGAAGGAGGTATGTTGGTGATACTCGTACACACAGAGTGGAGCGTCACCGCAGATGATGTCCTCTAGCAGCTGGGGGAGTCAGGGACGCCTTAGCCTTTCTACCTATTCCCCTGCAGGTGCGACTCATTTTCTAATCTAGCTGTGCTCTGGGTTGATTCCTGGGTCTTAGGTCTCTTAGTTATTCATTCCCCCTCTGGGACTAGAGGCCAACTTGCCTCCCACCCAGTCTGCAGGGCCCTGCCCCTTTCTCTCTTCTCTAGATCCTGCCAGCCAGTGGACCAGGACTGGACTATTTTTAGTATTTTCTATTTATATATATTTATTTATAAATATTATATTTAGTATTTTAGTATCCACTTCTTTGAATAACAACTCAGGCACTGCTAGATGCTGAGAACAACTTTCCCTCAGAAAATGTGCTGTCCTATCTCACTGTTTGATCAGAAATTTTAGATATTCATGCTGGCTTGGACTGGCCTTGGGCTTACTGTCTCACTGGTCTGAGCATAGAAGGCCCCAGCCCCGACCTCACCTGTTTTAGGTCACTCTACCTTGTTTACTGAGAGCTCCCAGTTTGCTATAAGGCCAGGGCTTGGTGGATTTTATCTTAGAACTGTTCTAGAACTATGTGTTACATGTGAATAAATTTATACTTGCTTTATACCAATGTCAAATGAACTCTGATCTCTAGACTACCAGGATGATTCTCTTTCTACTGTACTAGTGTAGTTGATTCTCCATTACTTTATGCCCTGTTCATTGGGAGTTTATCTCATGTATCTCAGAAGAATTTTGCCAAAACTTTGATCATCTTATACATACTAAGTGCATAACTAAGTTGGGCCACCTTCACCAACTTTCTGTATTAGGGAGAATAAATCCTATAAAACTTATACTTTTGAGCGACTCATATTTGAAATCATGGTTCCTTCAATAAGACCTGGGCTGTAGTCATCCTAGGCTAAGCTCTGAATGCCAGACTTACTCCCAGCCAGAACAGCTTTTGAGAAAAAGTTTTCCTAAAGAAATAGACCTGACTGCCTCCAATGCCTTTAGCAATGATCCTGGGGAAAGTTTAAGGATGGATCCATGTATTTGACACCTGGAACTAAGGACTAGATGCTGGAGATTGGGTTATCCAGAGTGGTGTTTCTTACAGAGCTAACTCACGTTCGTTGCCCTGACCACGCTCATGCACAGATACTAGGACCAACCGTGGTCTCTGTCTGGGTGGAGGTGGCATCTCTCCTCACCAGCAAATGTCAAATACTGAATATTGACTTGTTAGGCTGGTGTCGGTTCAAGAACAAAGACGCCGAAGGAACAAACCTGGGGTTGGCCACATGGCAATAAAATCACTAGAGGTTGCTAGGCAGTCAGTATATGGAACATCAGGGAAAGTGACCTGTCGAATCTTAAAGAGCTCAAGTTCCAAAATATGAAGAAACCGGGTATGCAGATAAGAGGATTAAGGGATTGGGGTTTGGGTAGTTCTTTATAAAATCTGGCCGGGAGATCTTCAAATTTCATTTCTCTATCCAAATACTAAATAATGAATTAGGTTTATTTCATGCAGAAAAACGGCAACGCACATAACTGGAGGGATAGAAAAAGGAGCCCCCACTCCACTCAAAAACATGAACTTTTGATAATTTATCCATATTCTCTTAAAGTATTTGTGACAAAGGATGTATGTTTGAGAGACTGGTGAGCTGTGGTTAAAAGCCATGCAACAAAGTATTGCTAAATGACCTGCCCAGAGAGTAAGCCTATGACCTTGGACTTAACCTCTACAGAACCACGTTAAGGAGCAACAGTAACTACTGAGTTTTTTCTGAGTTGTGAGAATTGCAGTGATTGCCATTTGTCAAGCAAAGGCTTCATTCGTTGCCCTAAACGACTGATGCCATTTTATGAAGCCTTCATCAAAAGCTTTGAGGGAAATTACATTATATAAAGCAAAATATTTTCATTTCATTGTCTTTCCTGAGATCAATGAGTTTAACTTTTAATCTTACTACATTCTGAACTGCTGCAGATGGTGTAGGTGGCAAATATTACACATTTGGTAAGAAAACATCATGGATATAAATACCCTTGTCTTTTTTTCCTCAGATCAGTGGAGAGCTTTAAGAACAGGACAAATACCCATCTGTCTGGAAAATTGCCTGGAGGCAGGGTGATGGACTAGATGTCTTACTTAGATTCCTTCCAACCCTTTGATTCAGAGTTCTCCACTGCTGCCAACAGAGTTAGTTCTGGTGGGATTCGTTCAGGACTGCAGACCCTTCTGCCTATGTGCAGAGGAGATTTTTCATTGAGATCCATTAAGGACAAGCTTTCTTTCGCAATTCTATGGAAATATGCTGCTTCTGAAATGTTATCTGCTCTGCAGGCTTTCCCTGAAGGTGTGGGGCTCTAATAAATGATGGACTGATGAATGTGAATGGACTTTGGGGGAGAGGGTCAGCCTTTCAGGGGACTCAGCATCTTTGTGATTTATGTCTTTAAGGGACGTGGCAGGAAGCCCAAAGGCGTTATGTAAGCTCACCTGCCAGGTGATGGCCGATTGGGAGCATCATGGCCAACAACGTGACTCGATTGTGTACTTGCACCCACGCAGGTGCCAGGTGGTGTTACAGTGGTAGCGGAAGTCTGGGTCACAGCTAAAAAGTCTTCCTCAGTACACTTTTGTGTTTACGTATATGTCCGTACGCATTAATTTTTGTTTTTATTTAATGTTTAAAGTAAGCCATACTCTCTTTAGAAAATATTTAAGAATGCAGAAGTATGAAGACTAAAACAAAAATAATTCTCAATTCCCCAACCCAGGAAAAAAAATCACTGTCGAAAGGATGGCATAGACATTGGACATTTGTGAGCGAACATACCGAGCACTTAGAGGATTGACATATGAACCCATCCCACCATAGCGTATAAAGTGCCCCTGAAAACAGAGGAAATCGTAAGGGAAAATTTAAGTGTCCACTTCAGAGCACTAGTGATTCTTTAATTTTTCACTTGAGGAGTAATTTTTGCATTCTCTGGAGTACAAAGCTGAAACAGTTTCATGAATTGCTTTGTGTTCCTTCCCGGGCAGGGATGGGGAGAGGGAATGTGAACCCACTCACCGGGCCCCAGCTTCCACGAGAAACATCGTACCATTATTGGGCTAGACTTACTACAGGCTTTCCTCTCCGTTATCAGTGCTAGCCCCGAGTTTCTATCTCAACCCATCACCCTTTCTTTGCCTTTCAAAAAATTTAAAAAAATAATGTTTTCTTTTGAATAATTGAAATCACTTTGTAGAATGTTACTTGATTTGTAACAATAAAATCATTTTGAGAAGTGGTTGCTGGTTAGCTGCCTAATTACATTTGTACCCTATGTAAATTGATCCCTCCACACCAGAGCTGTACACTTAATATTTCAAATTCATACAACAGCAACGCAACTAATTTATATGTTTCATGGCCTTTGGGTTGCTCATGGTTAGAAATATTGCATATGCATATGATAGAACTTTATGGTTTTTCTCCGCAGACTTTCTCTAACTCTGTGTGTTGGTGTGCCTGTGTGGGCGGTGTCTATGTAGTGTCAGAATTCGTTTCCTTAACTCTCAGTGAAGCGTTTTCCCAGTTTGTTACTAGTGTCAATTATTTTATTTATTGACTTGTCTATTGTACCATGTTAGTCTTACCCACCAAAAATATATACATCGTAAGAGCAGGGATGTTTTTTTCTGTGTTGCTCATTATCATATCCCCAGGATCTAGAATAAGTTCTAGTCCAAAAACGGTGCTCAATAAACATTAGCTTATTGAACAAATCAGTGACTAAAATATTCACTGCATATACAATTTTTAATGACTGCATAGCATTTCCTAATAAAGGCATAACCAAAGTTTTGGTAACTATCCCTCTATTACTGATAATAAAACCTGTATAATTTTTTTGTTATCATAACCAATGATCCGAGGAACAAAAATTTTTTCCTCAAGGATAGATTCTAGAAGTAGAATTACTAGGTCAAACTGTAATAATTGTGTAAAGTTCTTACAGCTTAATGTATTAGCTTAGTTTCCCCCTCAGAACACTAGTATAAATTTTATACTCACAAGGATTGGATGAAAATGTACGTCTTATCACATCCTTGCTTTATGGAGTGACTTTCAACTTTTTCAATTTTGGAATTCAAGAGAATTCCATTTTTTTTTTAAGATTTTATTTATTTGACAGAGAGAGCCACAGCGAGAGAGGGAACACAAGCAGGGGGAGTGGGAGAGGGAGAAGCAGGCTTCCCGCGGAGCAGGAAGTCCGATGTAGGGCTCGATCCCAGGACCCTGAGATCATGACCCGAGCTGAAGGCAGACGCTTAATGACTGAGCCACCCAGGCACCCCAAGAGAATTCCATTTTTATTATGGATATTATATTAGTCAAGATATCTCTAGTCAGTATAAGAAAAACTCCCGAATATTGACACAATAGAAGTTTTTTTTTCTCCTTGTTCGTGGTACATTCTGTTGTAGCTTGTGTGACTCTCCTGGGCAGCTGCTCTCCAAGAAGATCCTTCCCTTCCGTGTGTGTGTGTGTGTGTGTGTGTGTGAGAGAGAGAGAGAGAGAGAGAGAGACAGACAGACAGACAGACAGGGACAGAGACAGACAGAGAAGCAGAGACAGAGAAATTGGAAGATCAAGAGGTGCGTTTTATGGCCCAGCTAGAAGTTGAGTAATGTATTTCCGCCCACATTTTATTGGCCAGACAGAACTCAGTCATGTGGTCCCACTTAGATGCAAGAGGGGATGGAAACGTAGTCTTCCTAAATACCTGCTCAACAAATATATTGTGTCTTGAAACAGATTCTAAAAATACCTTCTTTCACTTTTTAGACAGCTGTAGAGTGTAGGGTGCCTGTTATTAGATCTGATGCTCTCCATTCTGCTCAAATGGTCTACACACTCCATTTCCTGTGACAGTGGCCAGGACCTTGGCCACTGGTTTTCACAAAGTAAAGTCAAGTATAGAGAACAAGCACCAGTCTTGTCAGGGATGTGCTTGCTTGCCCTGCAGTTGGGGAGAAACGCTATTCAATTTACCCACCTTTAAAGTTCGCTTTTGGTGTCCTGGAACAATTCCAACTTGGATAATTGCATTCTGCTGATCTAAAATTCCCCTGTAGCTTCCTTCGGATGAGCTAGCCTGCATTTCCTCCTCTACACGTTGTAGGGTAGTGTTGCTGGCATCCAGTGATCGCTCCATCCCACAAAGAAGCTGGTTTCATTCCACCACCAGGAAAGCGATGCCTGGGTGAATAGACAGAGCCTGCAGGTTTCTTTGGTTCCTTAAGTGCGGAAAACATACATTTAATGGATTAGTTAATTAGTGACTTGAAGCTCTAGGTGGTGGAAGAAATTAGTAATCTTTTGTTATGTTATAAATTGAACTCTAAAAATCAAAGAAAAATAAATTACCTTCTCAAGAATAGGTAGTATCTTTTGACCCAACAAATAACGCAGTACATTTTCTGTTGCTAAATACGAGATGTTTTGATATCTTGAATAATAGCTACGGAATCTACACTGGAGTATTCCCATAGCAATATGTTTACCTCTGTCCAAAACAATAAACTTTTTCTCTCATGGCTTTCAATGAACAGAATTAACATTTAGAGAATCACTCTTTTTTTTTTCTCCAAGGAATATTCATTTTACTAAGTAGTACACACCATCCCCAATTAAATGCTTGTGTCTGCTAAAATAGTAAGGGACAATATTAATTTTCATCCAGTAATAAAATATTATTGGTGGTGGGTGATTCCTTTAACAATTGAAGGTCAATTTGCAAGTAAAGTGTCTTATAACAGAGTATCAGAATAACGTACTACTCATTGGGGTGAAGAAAACAAAACAAAACAAAACGAAGAAATGGCTGTTGAGCAATTATTAAGGTTGAGCTTGAAACTTGTAGAGATCTTTTATATTTGTCTAAAAATATTTAAAAAAAAAATCCAAGCTGATTTCTGATTTACGAATTTCAAAGCTCCCACAACCAAAGGAGGGAGATTTTCTAACACTAGGGGGTTATCCTATTAAAATTCATCATGACTCTCCTTACTGAAAGAAGTAAACAAGAATCAATTTTCTTTAGTAAAGAAGTTGGCTGAGATGCAAGTTGAACTAGGACAGAATTGATGGATTCCTATGAAAGTTTACAGATACCTCAGAATCACAATTTATGATTTATAGGGGATTCTCTCCCCTTTCTTTTCCTTGGGCAGGGGGAGCGGGGGAGGTGGGGGGTGGGGGAGGAGGAAATCTGTATGAGGAAGAAAAGGAGAGGCTCCTTAGCACACACAAAAGGATTGTATAGCTTTTAATTCTGCTAAGCCACCACTACATGGAAGATGCACAGTACTGTAATTATCTGGCTAGATAGATGTAATTGTATCTATCAAGCTAAATAGAAGACTGTCAGATGACAGCCAAGATTGGATTGTCTTTTAGGGTCAGACAGAAACCTAGAGTGACCTCATTCCTCCCTTCTCACCATGCCTGTTTTCTCAGTCTTTGATGGGGACCCATTCTGCTAACCATGTGAAAACATATACAGTAACACTGCCTTTTTGCTCTATGCCAACAGCCCCCCTAGAGACCACACTCCGTTTACTTGGGCCCCGGGGATTAAGCCTGCCCAGGCCTCCCTTGTATTTGAAATGTATGATATTGATATCAGTGCTTAGGGAGAATCAGGCCTCTGCAGTGAACAGATCATGCCTGGCTCCATAAAGTCTACGTTGCATGGAGATGCATAGGCTGGGTGGAGAGGGGCCAAGTCAGGCTTCTGCTCTGGAAAGCAAGTATTAGGTCATGAATTAAAGAGTTTGTTTCCTGGCCTGGTCCTTAATATTCAGAACATTTCCATGGGCTGTATAAATAGATTTCAACTTCTGCGGAGTTTTAACGTTTGGTGTGGCAGCAAATCATTGTCACCTCTTACTTAGGTGCTAGCGGGGTATCAGCATTAATGTTTCTCTGCCGCGCTGTCTTTAAAACCAGCGCACCCCCACCCCCTTGCTCATTTATAAGCAGTTGGAATCCATTTTCATGGAGTTCCTCCAATCAGGATCAGGTCCAAACCATTTTGGTTTTTTTGAGCCTTCCATACTATATTTACTGTGTTTAGTGAAAAGCTGGATTCTCCCCGTGCTAAGTAGCAAACCCATGATGGTTGAAATATTCCACTAGTTCTGCCGCATTTATGGAAAGAGACAAAACACACAGAAGATGTAGGGTTATTAAGTGAGCTATTTCATCTCCCCATCCTGGTATGCATTTCAGTCATTCTTGAGTAACTTGCCACCACTGAGTCATGCAGGTCCTATTGTTTGTAGTCTGTGCTTCCGATGGGAACAAAGCTCTACTGAAGGCAGGTTTGCCTTGTGTCTTTTCGCGTAAAAATGCATGACACTTCTGCATATGCTGTGCGTTAAGCTTAACCAGGTTAACGCCCCTCTGCCTGGGCTTTTGGAAAAGAGTCCCGAATTGTCACATGTAAAGGGACATTTCAGTGCTGATTTTTATTTCCATGAGATTAAAAGTGAAACATGTAACCACAAAGCTGGTTTATGTCATCCCCCTGTCGGAGCCAGCAGTCATGCCAAAAATTAGATATTTGATAGGTTTGTGAGAGAAACAGATGCAGAAGGATGCCATTCCCACAATTTAGACTCCTTCTTATCTTTAAGCTAGAAAGAACATTCCAGATGAAGAAAATCTATTTTATTGGCTTTAAAAAATAGCAAAGAAAATGTAGAAATAAAAAAATGCTAATTTAAAACTGATGTCATTCTTGGGGACTTATAAACTGCAAATTGGTATTTCTAACTCAAAAAAAAAAAAAAGTCGTTCAAGACACGCTTACTCGATGTTTTCATTTGTGCTGCATTTTTACCTCAACCATGGCATTATAACTGAGGGAAAATACCCACGATATATATTCACATATAGTAGTATGAGAATATAGGCAAGAAAAAAAGTAGAGAGGAAACCATAAACCTCCAAAAGGCTAAAACCTCCAAAAAGTATTCTCTCAGCTTTTTTTGGGAAGCATTTTGTGTCCCATTCTTTTTATTTAATTCGGCCAGCTGTCTGCTAAACAAATCTAGCCAGGTGGGGCTTATAACCCATGACTAAAAAACCTACTAGCGCAGCTGTCCGGCTTGCCCGAAGGAAGAATTCCGACAAATGGCAGGAATGAAAAGATTGTTTTGTTTTCAAGAAAGTAGCTACTGTACCTTCTTCGGGTTCTGTTTGCTCAAGTTAATCCATAACTTCCTAAGGTTTTATGGTGAAATAGAAAAACAATATCACCCTCTAAAAATTTTTTAGTTTATTTTTATTATAATTAGTTTATTATGATTTTCCCTTAAATAAATGCTTTATTTTATGTTGCAACCTGGCCCTGAGTTGTCCTTTTTTTTTTCTTTTTAAGAGTTCCTGATTGCTAAATATCGTTTTTTTTTTTCTTTTTCTTTCTTTCTTTGTTTTGTCCTTTTTTTTTTTTTTTCCCTCTCTCTTAGGTGGGAACAAATTATTAGTGAACTGTGACTGAACTTCATTTCTAAATATCGCATAATTAAATATGGAGCTATTTAAAGGTGAAGCTTGGCACGGTTTATCTGTGAGCAGAGGAACAGAACAGGCTTGTTTGCACTGCATCATCAGTCGACCTCAACTGTGAATTTCTAGTCAGCAAATGGGCGCTTCATTTGGTGCATCTGAGCAGAGGAAGACAAGAGCTGCTCTAAAAAGGATCACGTTGCCATCTGATCTACAGCTCCATTGATGACAAATCAGTGCGTAAACCACTCACTTACTTTCCCCACTTATTTGACATTTATCAATTCAATGAATCTCAAAATTTCCATCAAGCCTGCCTAAAATTCTTATTATCTCATGAAAAAGCTGCGAGAGTTACAGCTGGTCCTGGTCTTTGGTCCCAACACCTGTTCAAGAGATACGACACTCATTCAGGCTTAGGACAGGGTGTTGATCGTAGCCAGACTTTTGTCACCCTCCACGGGGAGGTACCTGGGATGCCAGCGTACTGATGCCCTTCAGAGAAGGAATGGCACATTCGGCAGGCTTTGACAGGCAAAGTAAAGCACTGGCTCTGCTGGGTAACCAGCCATGATTCGTGCACAGATTCAGAAGAGAATGAGGCTGAATGGGATGGTGAGAATTTTCTTAGCAAGGGCACATATCATTCCATAAATGGGTGAGGAGATTTGGCTAAATCTCAGCGCCCATTTGGCCAAGAGCTAGAACTAAGGGATTGGCATATTCCATTGCCTTATTTTTCCATGTATAGGGACACAAGGAAACAATGCCTGTAGTCTGAGTTGTGCAGACCAAAATGGTGTCCAGAACAAACAGGCGAAGCCAGATTACTGTTCAAGTTGCCTTTGTTTTCTTTTGTTATGTAACAAGACATGAGTAATATTGGCCTGGGTGCTCACAACCCCAAAAGAAAGCAGGCCAATCTTTCATGAGGAAATTGAAGTGCTGATGCAGAACTAGCCCTCACAGCTTGTTGTTATTTAACGAAGAAGAAGTAATGGGGAATTTTTGGCAAAATTGGTATATATGCATAACAATAACGCGCCACAAAAGATTAATGACATGACTTAGCCCTCAGAGGATTTGCACATGCATTTAAGTGTCAGAAGTAAATAAATTGTGCAAAGACGCATTGACAAACCAGGTTAAAAGAAGCAAAGCATCACTTCCCTTCGGCCCTCCTTGCCACCCCCGAAGCCCCAATCAGGTGCTCTCCTCATGACAGCATCCACCTTTGTCCTGAAGTTAGGCTGCCTTTGAGCACTTGGGCTTCACTGCTTTCGGCCACCACAGAGTTACCACAGTAACTTTGTGGTTCGTCAGGAGAAAACACCAAGAAAAAAAGGCACGAATATTACGAATACAGCATCATTTGCTCTTAGTGCGCGTTCCCGATGAGAGAAAAGAACGGATATCTGTTTAAGGAAGAACACTCCAAACACGATACGTGTAAGAAGTGGTGCTTGGTAGAAAGAATTAGAGAGGAAGTCTCGTAACATTTCCTCCTTTTTCCATTCTTCCAATATGTATGCACGTGCATATGAATCTGTTTATATTTAAATTCTCTTTAAGTAAATCTTTAAATGTGGGCAAGGATTGCTCTATAATAGAGTGCAGACAAGCAAATCCGTAATACATACATTTTCTATATTTTCTCCATTTTGAGATTGATGAATGGAGATCCAGAAGAATAAATAATTTATACTTGTGGAAATAGAAACATGTACATGTGTTAGGCAAAAATCTTAGAAATCTTCATTTCTAACTATGTGGTCAGTATAAACTGATAGTGTAAAGATGGAAAAGTTTTCTCCAATGTCATCTCCATTAACAAAATATTTATTTTTTTTTAAGATTTTATTTATTTATTTGAGAGAGAGCGAGAGCACGAGCACAAGCCAGGGGATCAGCAGGCAGATGCAGAGGGAGAAGCAGGCTCCCCACTGAGCAGGGACGCAGATGCGGGGCTCCATCCCAGGACCCTGGGATCATGACCTGAGCCGAAGGTGGACGCTTAACTGACTGAGCCACCCAGGCACCCAACAAAAATATTTACAGTGGAACCAGAGATCTTTAGTGCGAAATAAGTTTGTAGTTATAAGATGGTTTTCTCCTACAGACATTCAGATATGGTATGCCCTTTTGTACATAGCTCTTTTGTGAAACAAATGCTCATATAATAGAGCTAATCTGAAACATGGCTGTTAGGTTTGTTGTTTTATATCTACGTGGTAAGAGGGAACCAAGTGTCTCTTTAGTTTTATGTCTTCTTCCTAGCATCCTAGCTTGTCCTTCCAAGACCTGTACACTAGCTTTCGCACAAATGGCTTCCCTGTTTCTGGTTCTGCATCATTACGTCAGCATTTTGCTGACTTCTAATCCTTAGGATCATGAACTGGATTTGGGTATTTAGCCTTGAAACTATTTCTCAATGGGAAAAAAAATTAACACTGAATCTTTATCATGTGTTAAAAATAATTTCCTCATAAAGAGTGGCATGTTTTTAAAATTATTAAATCAGAACAGGCAACAAATGCAACCTATTAGTAGCATATTAAAATATAATTTTACAAATTCTAGAATTTCATAGTGGGGGAGCACAACCCAGAAGGATCTCACAAGTCTTGCATCCTCATGTTCTCATTTCGGCATCGTTTTGATTATAGCCCAGTGCACTAACAGTATTTCTGTTTCATGCAGGTGGAAGTGAGAATTTGAGGCTCATTTAGCAGTGTGAATTTTCCCAATGTATTACAGTTATAGAAACACCTGAGCTTTCAAACTTTTTGCTGATCTGCTCTGAAAGTTCAGCGTGTTTAAGCAACTGCGCTGTCAGTATATTTAACTTCCATATTTTATTCTTTTGTCTCTCTCCCTCCCTGCCTCTCTGCCTCCCTGCCTCCCTTCCTTCTCTCTTTTTTTTTGTTTTTGCTTCCTTCTGTTCTATTTCTCTGTTCTCCCTTCTTTTCTTTCCTCTTTTTTCCTTCTCTTCAATTCCCCTTTGTCTCATTGAATTTAAAAAACCTGGCCTTTAAGCCAAGCTTTTTTTTAAATGCCCATGGATGTCCTAAATCCAACAAAGTTTTTATTTACCCACTGAGATGTGAAAAAATAAAGTTCCAGCAATGCTGCCTGTCAAAGAGCAGTCACATTATTCTAGAGAGATCGTATTTAATGATTTCATTTTCTATCAAACATGTTCCCTGTCTCGCAATAATTAAAAGAGGCTACACAGTCACCCTATTTGGGTTTAAGCCACTAACGTAATGTATAGATTGGACTTCACACAGCGATTGCTTATCGGAGTCAGGATGGAGAGACAGACCCTCTCCAGTGTACTCATGTTGTACTATTTACAAGGTGGCCCCGGAGTTCTGGCTTACAGCACTGCTTAGATCCTGTTACAGTTAGACTTAGATCTTTCTTTTGGTATAATAGAATTTAATGAGAAGGAAAGTGTGCTTTCAGTTTGCATTTTCAGAAGGATTTATGGGTAAACTTAAAGTATGCAAAACCACATTTACCCCCCAAAGAAGCAAAGGATTCATTCACAGAAAGAACAAAACGTTTCCACCTGAATTGAAAAGGAAGGGGTTCTTTCTAAAAAAAAATCTTTTGAGTGTATGAAATATTAAAAAAATTTTTTTTTCTGAAGCCAACAAATTTCCTACCTTCTGTGGAAGTCCACCTTAAGGTCGGCTACAAGTCTGGTGTGCCGGATCGTTTGCAAACCCCACTTCGGCAACCGAGAAAGGGCGGGGCTGCGTCCTGAGACATCTGTGGACCAGAGGAGCTGGCAGGGACCACAGAGCTTTCCATTGAAGTGACTGCTCCCAGCATGGCTGCAGGGACCGTCGACCTGAGCTAACTACTTCCACATATCAACACTTGTCAGTGGTGGCCTGAGAGACCCAGAGACTGCGGGCGAGGGGAAGTACCTGCTCTCGGGAGCGCTAACCAGCTACCCCGCCCCCCTCTACCATCCAATCTTCCATATGGGGAAGAGGGAAAGGAAGCCAAGTAGGAGAAAACCATACAGTAATAAAGCAAAATGAGTGCTTAAATTATGGCACTGGCTGGCTTTGGTTATTGGTATTTAAATGTACACCGAGTTTCTAAAAATTCAGAGCAGAGATGATTATCTAACTTTAGAAGAATGTCGTTGATCTGGGTCAGTGGTTCTAAATGCACTCTTGAGGCATGAGTGCTTGTTGGGATTCTTTGGGAGGTGGTTCAGACGGAATTAGGGATTAATAATCGTTTTCAACGGATTTACTTAAAAATAAATCAGAGCAGAAGATTCAAAGTCATTCCTCCAATAATTTCATTCTCACACACACACATTTCCATTTGCAGTCTTGAGGGAATGAGGAGTGGTGGAGGTTTAGCTAGCGTCCTGGAGATTGCACAAATCCTTAAACGTCCATGACATGAAACACTGCCCCATGCGTGAACATCATTTGCCACGTGTTTTGCGGTGGGAACAAAAGCCAAATGCCGAGATCCATTGTGTTAGGGTTTGAATTGCTAATATGTTTTTCTTTTTTAAAAGATTTTATTTATTTATTTATTTTTAAAAAGATTTTATTTATTTATTTGAGGGAGAGAGAACACAAGACAAGCAGGAGGAGGAGCAGAGGAAGAAGCAGACTCCCTGCGGAGCAGGGAGCCTGACGTGGGGCTCAATCCCAGGACCCCAGGATCATGACCTGAGCTGAAGGCCGACGCTTAACCGACTGAGCCCGGAGTTGCTAATATGTTTTATTTGTCTATACTTAGCTTCCTTATAATCATGACATAATGAAAAAAAGTATGATTTTGTTAATCATCTACTAATAGTGATAGACAAAACCTGAAAAAGATTGTCTAGTTGTTCTTTCCATGGGCTGGGTCACAACTATACATGCCACCAATGGTCAACAATGATGCACCCTCTGACCACTTTAATTTAAGTTCAGAATATAAAGTACTGCAAAGTGCTATAATTAGGTAGAATTTGTAACTGAACCTAAATAGGAAGACTGTACACGGGCTCCTTAGAAGCAGTTGTTCTATGAAAGATGTATGAACCTTCCTCTTGTTCAAATAAGCTCGCAAGTGGTCTTGGAATAAGCAAGCCTTATTTTACTCACTTTTGCTGAAGTTTCAAGTATTTCAATAATAGTGACAGATCTAGCACCTATAGAAATTGTGAGCTGATATCATTTTATATATTTACTGAATCGTTTGTTTTATGCTTGTCTTCTTTTTTAGAAAGTAAGCTATGTGAGGACAAGGATTTCAGGCTTACATTTCTATCTGATGGGCCTCTAAAAGGTCTACTAGCACTGGACTGGGCCTGAGGGAGATAGTCAATAAATTCTCACTGAAAAAAAAAAACAAGAAAAACAAATACTCATTGAATAAAGAAATGAAAAAAAAAATCATCTGCCCTTTGTCAGGACAAGTCAGTATCACATGTCTCAGTACCCAGTGTCTCAAAAGCTTTTTTGACATCTTACCGTTTACAGAACCGTTGAAGAGAGGTCAATGGATGTAAGGCATCGGTTTTAATTTTCCTTAGGAAAGAAAAAGAAAAATCTGATACCATTTTCACTAGCCCACATGATATTTCTGGTTTCTTGAAGTATTTGGCAAAGGGAAAAGCACAGGTTGAACTGTTTAGAAAAGATAAAGGATCCTTTTCTGAATTTTGAAAACTGGGGCTTTTACACATGGTTTCAAAGTTGATTGAGCACATAAAGCCCAATGAAGACAGATCCTGCAAAAGCAAAGAAACCTTATCTGATGAGTGCCCCAAGTGTGAACACACCACACCATAACCATGTGGAAATAATAGCCTATATCGGCAACAAAAGCTTGCATTTAATGAGAACTGTGCCATTGTTCTTGAAATTCTAATTTGGTAAACATCTCATGGTGCTGACTCATCAGTACTGAAAATCCAATAATAAATCACCACTGTGATTTAGCGCTAATGCTGGAATTCACATCACGAAGTGTGCTACAGCCTCCGCTGAAACTCAAACAGGTCGCTGAAAGGTGCATTTCATCAGCAAGCAATTTAACTCATATCAAAGGAATTTTACCCCAATCGAGTGGCAACTGGCTGCTTTGGAAAGCAGTTGGGGGAAATGAGCTGTGTGTTAGCTGCCGGTAGAAAGGTAGTCATCTATAATCCTGGAGGTTTTAAAAGTCGCTTCTTCAAATTCCATAGCAAACAATATGAAATAACAACCCAGTATCTCTGTATCTTAATCATGTTCAGTAACGAAGCCCTTTAGATAATTGGCACTGCTTCTGTAGTAGGCCAAACTTTCTTTCAAGTTACAAATACTCACAAAAGGTTTACATTATAAGGGGCTGCTTTGGAGATGTGCAGATTTAGTTTGTAAGTACAAAGTGAACATGCAAATTGCCTTATCTTGTGGGATTCACAAACAACCATCATTCAGATTGATTTAATACATGGCTTTTTATCTTTAAAAGTGTTAATTAGAAAATAGGGACAGTTCTCTGAACACTTAAGAGTAATAAATAGATCAAAACAGCATCCATGCTTCTCTGATGGAACTTCTGAAGGCTTTGTAAAAGGATTAATACAATTGTCAAAAAGACCACAGTATACATATTTAATAGTGTTACCAAGCTACAATTACATTTTTAGGACTTTATAGCTAAGTTTTCCAGTATTTGCTATCTCGAAAAACTGAGATGTTGTGCAACTTTTGTACAAGGTTTTGGAGTTACCCTCTTATTTTAATTTTTCCACCTTGGACCTCCAAACACTCTTCCCGAGAAGATTCTAAAACGACAAGTGAATATCAGAAGTTCCTCAGATATAGATGGGCTGTTAGAATTGCATAAAGTGAAATATTAAGAGAAGAAACAATTATGATTCATGCATTTCTTCTCAGTGAAAAATATAAAGCTGTTTACTGAGAATTTGCCTGTGTTTTGTAATTTCCCCATGACAGTTAAGGGTGTGTACGGAGGAGTCACTCTTGGGGGCTCTGCCATTGCCTGGCTCAGTGACTTTGGGCAGGTGACGTTCTATCTCTGTGCTTTTGTTTACCTGTAAAATGTGCAAAATCACAGTCCCTTTCTCCCAGGGTCTTATGGTGGGGATTAAATAAGACTGTGTTGAATGATGCCTGCTACTTGAGGAAGTGTTCTGTAAGTTATGATAACTGAGGCAATTGCTCATGAATGTAGATGGAGGTTTTCACTAGGCTTAGTTATATGGTTAGACCCATCATCAGCACTGAAAATACATGGGAACACCTCTTCAAATTTATGAGAAAGGCAAACATGCCCAGTACAGGGTGAGGGCCCTTGGCCTCTGTGTGTCAGAGAACTTGACTTTCCCTCCTCTTCAAGATAAGGACTCGAGAGGCCAAGCCATGGTGTGAGCCACTACCTTTCTAATACCCCTATTTGTGTTTTCTTTGCTTTGTCTTTGTCTTTATTCAGGATTTTGATTTAACTAATAATATATGCAGATGGCAAAATAGTCAAGAAGTATAAAACCCACAATAAAATGAATTTGTTAGTAAATACATTAATTATTATTAAGAGAACTACTATTCTCCTAGTTATTAAGATTAAAATTGTATGGTCATGATTGATTTCTTTTACTTGGTTGCTTCCACATCTAACCAGTTACCAAATCTAGCCACTTCTTCTTCATTGTCAAGTGCATCTTGCCTTTCTTTTTCTTTATTCTAGACACCACTATTCTGGTTAAAGACTTCATTATTTCTTTGTTGAAAACCACATTAGCTCACGTGGCTTTTCCTGGCTCTGACTCTACCTTTCCTGTCACTGTTGAAGTACTCTTTCTAGGGAAGGGTTCTGATTAAATGAGATGCTACCCACAAAAATTATTTTATAGTATCTGTTTGCCATATGAATATTAGTTGTTTATCTTATTATGTCACTGACTTGCTCAAATATCATTAAATCTTCCCCAGGTCTACTGAATAAAGACAAAATGCCGCCGTCTATTTTTTAAGATGCTCTGTAATATTGTCCAAGTTTATCTTTCCAGACATTTCCTACTAATCCTTACGTTTTTTTTTTTTTCTATCCAGCTAAAAATCTTGCCATTTTTTGGAAACACCCTTATCACCGGCACTGTGTTCATGCCATTCTACTCTCCCCTACCCCTGAATTGTCTCTTCCCCAGTGAGATGGAAATAAGTTGAACAAATGATATCTGGCATTTTTTGGTAAAGGATGACTGTCATTAATTAAGTTTTGGGGTTCAGCACAGGTCTATCAATTGATTTTGCATTGTTCTTTTGGGTCATCTTTGAACATTAAGTTATAATCCTCCTTTATCCATATGGTTATCTTCAGCAAATAGAGAGTAATAGGCACTGACCATGTAGGGAAAAAAAAGAGTTGAGGAAATTAGTTAATGATATACTCAATATGAGCTGAGAGTATAATGCATCTATTAGAAAACTAGGAGGACTAGGTTGCATAGATTTTAAAAGTATCTATTTCATGGGAAATTATGATCCCTTGATTCTCAGTATTGCTTGGTCTGTACCAGGATATCTTGTCTGGGTTGCCCATTTGAACAGGAACATTGGCAGACTTGGAGCATGTGCGGAGAGGATGGCTAGGGTGGTGGAAATTATAGAAATTATGTTGTAAGTTAAATGAGAGGAGGAACCAGGATGATTTAACGCGTAGAAGAAAAGATGAAAGAAATGGCTATCATCCATCAGAAAGAAGAAGTGCTATGTATATTTCTCTAACAAGTAGGAGTGGGACAAATAGAGCGATTTGTG